CATGATTACAAGCTGATAATGCACCTTCTTATACATATAGTAATCGTTCTCTAATTAAATTAAAAAACATTAAAGTAAATGTAACAAAAGCTGTTGAATAAACCTATATTGGAAATAATGATAAATAACAAAATAAAAATATACATGGAATAGGTATTAAAAATGTTTTAAATATAGTATCATAAGTCAATGACTATGTTATATATGACCATATTTCAGAGACGTTTATCACGGCTAAAAGTCTTTCGATATTTTACTGCGATCATAAAAAGAAAGGCTTTTTCAGTGTCATTATGACAGTATTCAAAAAGTGTTTGAAACATTAATGTTATTATTGTAATAGATCAACACTGCTATCACTATTTCATAAGATTCCTATAGACTCACAGTGCTACATTTTTTATCGAGATTGCTAATAGTAATGATTTAAACATAGCAAAAGGCGTAGTAACTGCTATTCAAAGAACTTATAAGACGTACCTACCGAGGCGACTCGATCAAATTCTTACTCTTAATTAATTTTAAAGTGATTTTTATTGTATACTTTGTTTGATTCTACGATATTTCATTTTCATTCTAATAGCGCACATAGTTTTCTATTCAATAATTTTTTTTCAGCAGAAAACACAGTTTTTGTTAGTTCGTATCAGTATATAATTCTATATACTTTTCAGATATCTGTTTCTTAATAATGAATTTGATGAAGAAATAAATATATAACAGATAGACAAAACGAAAACTACTAATTATCAGAAATCAAAACGAATAAAAAAAAAAACCTTCATATGATTCGATTCGACTCATGATTATAGAAAAAGTGCATACTCTTATTTTCGAACGCATTATCTGTTACTTATTTTCTAATGTTCTTTTGTAAACTATCTACTTATTGTTTTATTTCACTATTCACATCACTGCATTTTTGTAGTTAATCTATTCAAACATATTCAATAATCGTTTAGTTGTTTAAAAGAAAATGTACAATAAAAAGTCGATAATATGCAATAAAATTGCTTATGAAAGTTTGATATTAGTGAATCCGAGAACAAAGATAGAATTGACTCTTGTAAGATCAAAATTTTACGCACGGAGTGCATGCATCAAAATTGGATAAACGAAAAGCGATCGCTACGAAAATTAATCAAATATATATTAATCATAAAAGGATAACAGATGTTTCCACTAATATAAACAGAAGAAGTTTAAGCAAATGCAAAAGAAAATATATGCGGAAATCACTTGACAATCTCGAGATTATCAGAAGTACACATTTTTTTTCTTCTATCTGTACATCGGTAAAATTTAAAATATCTTTTTATTATTAAATTTTTCATATCAAATCATTGTTCTAAGATAGTAAATAGACTGCTATTGAAAACGTCTTGCAACTATCAGAAATATTTAAACTATGATTTACACATCTACGTTATTGATAGTACATTCGGAACTAAGACTTTCTAGAAGAATAATACGAACTTATGAGTATTAAGTCAATTCAATTAGTGTCAATTACACATGAACACCTAAAAATTCGAGCGTTTGTTCTTTTATTCCGTAGTTCTCGGCTATATTCATAGCAAACAATTTTTGTGCAATCTTCTTTTGGCATAATCGCGCTCAGCAAAAGACCACTCAATGATATTTCGTATTTCATCTGACTTTTTTTTTATGTAGAATAACTGCTGATTTCTATTTTGTTTATTTATGAAACTGGAATTGAATATAATTCAACTTGTCCTTTGTTTTTTGATCGTTTTTTTCCAATGACTTTGTAATTCATAGAATAAACTAAAGAAAGACATACTCATTCTATTCTATTCGATACGGCAAAATTTATAGTCGATTCGGTGTTAATCTCTGTTAGTTATTGAAATACAACTGGTATGTCAATCAACACTACTTTTCTAAACAGTTATCTTGGACCAGATAGCAATTCTACTAAATCTAACTATAATGCATGTTATTATTCTCTTTTCTCATATTCTTATTCCATTTTAAGTGTGTATTGTTTTTCTTTACTATAAAGAACAAGCAGTTCCATAATATTTCTCATTGTACGTCGAGTGATTCGACTAGTATAACTTGACTTTAATTTGTTAGAAACAAATCATGAAATATAAAGAAATCGTCCGCTATGCATTTACACTTTTATTTTTTGTTTCCTACGAAAATTCACATATTTTCTTCCGTTTTTCTTTCGATTCTTCGCCATTCGGTAAGTCTTAAGTAGAATGACTAATCAATAAATATAAAGAACGAAACAAGTATGTGAAGTGAACAAACGAGGTTAAACACTTCTTTTCTTTGTGACTTGTGCAACAAAAACATATCATGCACTCGTAAAAACATAACTTCTTTTTCTCAATTTTAGATCCTAAATTTTATCGCTACTATACACAAATATTTATTTCTTTACTTCCATAGTTCTCTCCCAGTAGGATCATGTAAATACGCATAGTGTTCATCTGCCACTAATTTGTTTAACCTCTTCAAAATAATTATTTCCTGAGTCTTGCAAAGATCTTTGCTTAAAGCCTACAAAAGCATTTATCACTAAGATCACATCTATATATACGATACATTTCTCGAACCGTTCTTCTTCTTCTTAGTTTCTTAGAATACTTATATCTAAAAATCGAAAAGATCTCCGATCGAAATCAACACAAATATCCAATAGTAGAATCATATGTATTTATACGTTTAATTTATTAAATTATTGTGTGTTTTATCTTTTTAGATTCTTTGTTTGTTAAATTGAAAAAAATCTTTAATCAAAATCTTCACTGCGTTCATCGGTATGATCAAACGTATATGTGTTATTCATTAAACTATTGTTTTCTTTACTTTCGTAGATTCTTCATTTGTCAAATTGAAAAAATCTTTAATCAAAATCTTCACGTGGGTTCATCAGTATGATCACATCTATTTATATGTTTAATTTATTAAACTATTGTATGTTTTACCTTCTTAGATTCTTCATTTGTTAAATTGAAAAATCTTTGATCAAAATCTTCAGGTGTGTTCATCAGTATAATCAAATGTACAGGGTTGCCAAAAATATTTTGCCCAGTGGGTATACCTCCAACGACAAATGATATCAATATTGAATTTTATACTACATGAAAGCTTGTCAAAAATGGAATTTATCCATACGAATGAATAAAGACTATAAAGAATTTTCTCTATCGAACTTTGATAAGTTCTAAAAATGCATGAATCGCAGTCATATCAAAAATTTCTTTTATCATAGAGAACGCAAACTACCTCTGATATGAAATTACTAAACATAGAAAGGTTATCCTTACTTTTTATGGCTTAATGAATAATACAAAATAAAGGTAACTTTGCTAGATTCAGGATTTTTATATCAGAGGTAATTTGAGTTTTCTATGATAAAAGAAAGTTTTGCTACGACTGTGGTTCATGCATTTTTAGAAATTATCAAAATTTGATAAAGAAAATTCTTTATAGTCCTTATTCATTCGTATGGATAAACTCCATTTTTGACAAGCTTTCATGTGGTATAAAATTCAATGTTGATATCATTTGTCGTTGAAGCTGTACCTCCCGAGCGAAATATTTTTGGCAACCCTCTATATGTTTTATTCATTAAACTATTGTGTTTTATCCTCTTAGATTCTTCATTTGTCAAATTGAAAATTCTTTGATCAAAATCTTCACGTGTATTCATCAGTATGATCAAATGTATATGTTTTATTCGTTAAACTATTGTGTATTTTACCGTCTTAGATTCTTCATTTGTCAAATTGAAAGAATCTTTAATCAAAATCTTCACGTGAGTTCATCAGTATGATCACATCTATTTATATTTTTAATTTATTAAATCATTATTTATTTTATTTTATCAGAATTAAGATCAGTCGTCGATTCATCCTAAGAATTTATTAGTAAGATCTAATAGATATACATATTGTTGTTATCTGTCAGTAATTAGTTTTTGTACATTAGAATTTTCATTTGTTGAACTGTGCAAAGATAGTTGGTGATGGCAGATAGTAAGGAAACTACCAATGAACAAGTTAATGTTAGAGAGTCTGAAAATCATATTAAGTCATCTGGAAAAATTGAACCGAAAAGTGCTATTTATTTTGACAAATTATTCTTGTTCATTGATTTTTGGTATTTGAAACTTGTGATTGGTATTAATTATTTACAGTCATATACAAAAGCAATCTCATACAAGCTACTTATGGTTGCTCTTTGTCAGGTGATCTTTTTTTATTTTGGTTTGCTCACCTACAAATCGTATATCGAAGTCGACAAATCGATTGCTGATTTCAAGAACAAGGAAATATTATTAAATGAAATTTTACAGCGTAATATTAGTGCTAAATTTTTTCGTGATAAAAATTTGTTTTGGGGCCCGACTGATCATTATTTAAAAAACAAATATGGGACATTAATAATATTAATAAATAAAGAATTAGTTCACATGAAAGTTCATAATAAATATAAGGATTTATTTTTTAATCACTGTACACAAATCAGTCTCTTAACAACAGCATTCCCCTTTCTTCTAAACTTAAGCTGGTGGACCAATATCATTACGATAACAGCAACAATCATGAATAAATATGCAATTGATGGTTTATTTGGAAATTCAATTAAGATTAGTTTATGTATTACTCTTGGTCTCGGTCAAACTTTGTTAGTCGTGCATTTCTTTAATACTATTATGTTGATTAATGGTGCTAAATAGAAAAAAAATTATTATTATGTGTTACATTTGAAATGACAATTTTTGTTTATGATATTATATTTAAAACTGAAATATATGCTAAAGTTGACAATTATTTAATAAATATGATAAATTTTTACTAAATTTAGTCAAGTTTTTAACTTATGCTGCACAATAACCAACTATAAATATTTATTAAAAATTTAATTTTTTTTATTTATTTTATATTTCAGAAATCTTTAAATTCTACATCTGACATTGTAACATCATTCGGCAGTTCAATAGTGTCCATATTCTCAACTTAAAAAAGTTTAAAATATACAACAACTAATACAAATACAATTGTAACTAATCCAACATCACGTTTAATAACAGATAATCCTGTATCATCATCCATAACAACAATATCAACTTGATCATCATTTTTAACTATTAATAATGATTGAGATTCATCAACATGATCATCTTTAGTTCTTTTATCGTGAGTATCATCATTTACAGTTGAAGTAAACAAGAACCTATTACTCATCGACCATGTTATCCAAATGAACAACAACAGCTAAATCAACAACAATTAATGCAGCATCAACTGATACAAAGAATCTTCCTAATAATAAATGTTCAGTTTCATCATTAAAATCGTCAACAATAAGACCAATAAAGTAAAAGCATTTAGCAATGACGAATAACTTTCAATGAGTATCTCTAACCATTCGACAAACAAATATTTTTGAAACAAGAACAACAACAATACAAAATAAAGAAACATCTTTAATTAATGGTATTGCTTTTTATTTGAATAAGGAAATTCTAAAATACTTTTTTTTTCTTTTTTCATTTTATTTCAAATATACAAAAATGACTACGTAGTTCATCAATATTTGACAAATTTCTACGTTGTATTTTACCTTATACGAAAAGAATTATATTTCATAGTGAATTATTTGAACTTATACAATTTTGTCTTAAGTAAAAGAAAAAGAATATCAAAAATAAATAAAAAATCAAATTTTATTATTTGAATTTTTAGTCATGTACCTGATATGTTGGAAACATTACAAGAATTAATCAATATGAACCAGCAGATGTTATTATTTCAAAAAGCATCTATGATTAAATTGATAGAAATAATATGATTAGTATTGGTAAGAGTTTATCATTTAATTGATGACAAATAATAAATTGTAGCTATTATCAATGGTAATTGTTTGACTTATTCGAATAGTTAAACGAGATTCATTGAAGTACTATAGAGTTTATATGTGAGATTAATAAATTATTTATCAATGCTAGTTATGCTACAAAGGCTTCGAATATGACTTAAAAAATGCCTTAAAGTGTTTTCTATCGTAACATCTCCGAGAAACTTCAAGATTTTATCTGCCGTTTCAAAAAGAGCTGAAACAATCATCTTTGAAATCTATTTTTTGCAAGGTTTTTCTGTAAACCCTTATATTCATTTTATCGTTATATGGAATAAATAAGGAGATTGTGAGTTGTAGAGTTCTGCATTGCCAGTATTGCGAAAATGATACTTCTGATTTCTTATATAATACTACTATTACTTTTCAGATGTTAAGTACTAAACAAAAGACTACTAGTGCAATTGTTAATCACGAGGAGATTGTTTTATTGCAATACATTTTGTTACTTAATTCTGGATAAATACAATGAGAGAATAGTTCATATATTATAAAGAGATCTTTATATCAGCAACATCTGTAGAGGGAAGTTCAAATTTTCAATATTTCTTTTTGATGTAGTTCTACAAAATATACTACTTTATACTTTCATAATATTCGAGAAAAAGAGAGATTTAAGTATAAACACTCTGCAAAAACATTCGGTTAAGTGTGAGAGTGGAAGATCAAATTAACTTCAATAGTATCTATGGATATTGATTTTATCATTTATGTTTTATTAAATCTGTAAGAATCATCTTCAGACTGTGACTCATCTTTAGAACAAGTTATTGTTCAGTTCCATGTTTTATATACCTCCAACATCTACTCGTCGAAAACAATTTTGTAAACAAGTTTCGTAATAATTATTGTATTTTATTTTCAACATTTACTGATGAATCATCATTGGTTGGATAAAAAAAAAAAGGTATTTTTGAAGAATATATGTATAAAATCGAAGATGAACATTTTTAACTTGATATTGTTATGGAAGTTAATTTAAGTGCTGTAAGAGTGTACAGTTACATATGAATTCATTAATATCGGATCAATTAAATCATTATCAATTAGATGATCAATTAGGTGGATAATCAGCAATAGCACAAAAAACGAGTTGTACACAAAAAAATTTATGGTCAATATGGAAATGAAATTATTGATGGATTAAGACAAAATCTACATGTCACTGTACCCATTCTTCTTAAACAGTTTGTAAAATGGCAGAATTTTTTTTGTATATGTTATTTCTTCTAGATTAAAAGTTAAGGATGAAGAATAGCGTGAAGCAACGAAAAATTTTGAACGTTTTTGAAGAAGAATTAAGTAAAAAAAATATTATCTTAAATCATTAGATTATATGGAAATAAATTGTAAAAATTCGAATGCAAGAATTATTCATAATTGATATTTATTAAATGAAATTGAAAATATCAAAGAAGAAGTAACAAAAAATAAAAACAAGCAAAATTTTATTTTTGATTTTTTTTTGTTTTGTTTTCCGATTGATGATGTGATCAACAAAAACCATCGAATTCTAATCAATCAAATTTCATATTTCGTTATGGAGACTTATCTATATTTGAGGATGCTGTATTATTAATTATTTTTCTTGTTAAACATCAAGCGCCATTTGCAAAAGAAGACAAACAAAAGATTTCAAAAAAATTATGTATCAGTTTTTACCAAATTTTTTTATTTACACCAAGAGAAAAATTTAGTGATAATAAAGAAGATAATTATTTAAAAAGTAAGATATAGCATTGAAAGAGATGTTGTATATTCTTTTCAGTCTTGTAGATAATCAAAATATGTAACAGGATTGAAGAGATAAGTGTCTTTCAATCCGGCCTACGTAAACCTTCATGAACTATGGATTTTCAGAATCCATTTGTTGTGAGATTTATAGATATTTTGATTGTTTCTATAACAACATATGTCTATAAGAACGCGTTTTTTTTTTGTATTACCTATATATTTTGATATTCTTATTGAAGTTCATTTCTAAAAAAGGAATTAAATCTCATGCGGTCATATCCTCTATTCAATCTGATATTGTGGCTAAGATCAAATTTCTATGAGAGACTAGGAGAAGAGCTATAACTGTTTTACTGAGGTCGTACTCATAACAAGACAATTTCGAAAATATTGAAGTTTGACTGTGAAATTCTGCATATAGATAGATGTAATAATTATTAAAGATTAGAGAGAATTCGAACATAGTTTGATTGGAATATTCAACTTTCAAGTAGACTTATCTAAACAAGACATGTTCGTATTCTTTGGAATCTTCTGAACTTTTTAATGAAGATTAAATGAAAATTTCTTATTCTCTTTTTATATTTTTAGCAATGACTTACTCTGACAAAAAAAAAGAACTTTCCCCTCGAATGACCAATATTAATATTTTATTTTCTATACACGATAATGAAGATAAAAATAAACATGATAAAAAAATCTCGACCAACTCGTCATATTGACACAAATCAATGATGTAATAATGAATCATTAACAGTTAAACTTTGTCTCAATTTTATTTTTTATTTATTCTATTAGGATGATACGTTTCATGTATTTTTTTGTTAACGGTAATTATTATTTTTTCTTTCGTCTCTCTCAATTATGATGTGAATGTTTCTTAAAAAGGTTTCAACAATCATTATGTTTAATCGAACAACAAAATCACCATCAAATCAACATAATTCAAAAACTTAATTAACAACCATCTATTGTTACGTTACTTCGTATGGCAAATCAACGTAAGTTAATTATGATTAAATACAGAAAACAAAAATTATTATTAGTTTTCTAGCAAATATACCTCTTGATGATTATTATTTAGTATTTCTGAATAAGGTGCCAAATTTACTTGATGAAAGTATGGACAGTTCATCGTATGAAGGTTCATTAGGTGAAATGTTTAGTATTCATACTTATATTGCCTTTACAATGAATAAAATTATTCATCATTGTATTTGACAAGTAATACGGAAAACAAAATCTGTTGTTATGTTTTGTTTCTTTTTTGTTTTTTTGTAATATTTACGAGTTTTTTAGCTTCATACCGTTGTAACGGATGCATGATGAGATGCAATAGTGCGTTTATATTGACGTACAAGTGGTACCATTGATCTTGTTATTGATAATCTTTATATAATAGCACAACAAAATTCAGAAGTAGTTTATCAACGTGAAATGAAACCATATGCAGATGGAAATCGTTTATTTCGTATTTTTTCAGTATGTAAAAATTTATTTTTTGTTTAAATATCAATCTATTATTTATATGAACGATCCGATGTTCTATTGACAAATAGTTCTAACTGTTTGAAACCTGATACAAATGGTAAATCTTACTTTAGTAGAAAAGAAAGATGTCAAATGAGAAAAATATCGAAGGATAAATATGCCGACATGCAAAAAGATTGAAAGGTGAACATGTAGACTTATTCAAACGTTGAAAATAGAACAAATAATTTGTCAGTTGATGAGAAAGGATTCAATATGTTTATTTCATTTATAGAATTTTTATTCTGAAGAAAAAAGCAAAATTTTTAACGAAGAGAAAAAGGGAAAGAATTTTAAAGAACAGCTTAATATGAATCATACATATGTTTATATCTATTTGTTTTGTTTTGGTTCCAACAACTAATGACAAGTCAATTGGAAGATTTGATGAGCTAATGACACCATCATTATATTGCGAGTGTGGGTGTGGGTATGGATTATAGTTTCAACTAGAATATTTCGACAAAGGCTTGTTTGTTTTCGTTGAAGCATACAGAACTACCAGATTTGTCTATAAGAAAAATTTCAAGCCAGAAATTTTTGTTTCGAGTTTTGCAACAATGTATTTTTCTTAGTAAAAACTTCATTAAAATGGCCATAACTCTGCATCAGTAGGTTATGAGTCTAAATTTTTTTAAGATTTTTCGTGGTCTGATCGAGACCGATTCGTAGCCATTATATGAACTCGAAAGATCTCTAACAATTGAATATGTTTTCTTATTAGTTAATACAACGAGTATTGGGTTTTTTATATCAGGAATCGAATAAAAGTTTGAAATCTACCCGACTGTACATTCAGATCTAAGGATCTGATCAATTGAGTTCATGCCTCAATTAGAATTCGAGAGTATTTAGTTAGCTAACGAGTAAAACTCTTCAGATGTCTTCTTCTGATTTCAATTTCTTTTTGCCTATTGATTCTAAGTAGTATTCTGGTGAAAATCTTAGAATGATTTAGGTTCCTATTGAAACTTGCTGGTACTATAGAATTTTTAATATGACTATTTTGTTAGAAGCTTCTCGTTTTCAGAAAAATCACGTTTTTAAATTTTGTCTTAAAACTTTTTTTGTCATTTGAAGATCTTATATACAGTAGATTTTGTATGAAGAGTTTCAGAGTTTATTTTTTCGAACTATGAACTTCTGAAAAATAAATGATTTTCGAAGCTTAATGGATAGCGCAAGAATATTTTGAAAAAGTTTATATCATTGAGATAGAAAATCTACAAACTATAAGACTCTTCATGCAAGATCTACTGCATACGAGATCTTCAAATAGAAATAGTTTCAAGGCAAAATCTAAACACATGATTTTCCGAAAAACTTGGAATCTTTTACTAATAAATATATTATAAATTCAAAAGAACAATTCAAGGGAACTTCTCTTTTACCACCCCAGCTTGGTTATGGATGCAACGAAGACCGACATCCAAATTCACAAATTTATTATCTCAAGATTTGAATCGAATTGATAGATTATGCAACCAGATTCAAAATTCGAATTGTAAGACTATCGTTGAATTTCTATTTCATATTTAGTTTAAAAATGATCGTCATGTTATAACAACATTGATTATTATTGATTCATTTGATGATGAAAGACTATATGAAAAATGGACACATTTTGTTGAATCTTATATACATGGTAATGAAGATGATCATGATGAAGCAATAACAGGATTTATATGATCTAAATTATGAAAAGAACCATGATTTTTACTTCAGTATGAATCCTAAGAAAAAGAGCATGAACTTTATTAGTAATTTTTTCTTCATTTAATAGAAATACGAAAAAGAAAACCAGTTCCTATGACTAATTAATCATTAACAAAAGTGACAGTAACGAATAATGATTTTTGTCAACTTGATACAAAATAACTTAAACGAAAACCATATAAGTCGTGTTAATTTCTTTGTTTTTATAAACGAAATTCATCACGTTCAAGAAAACAAGTATATTTTTGTTATTTTTTTAATAATCATATTTCTACATTGTTTTATATTTATAGTCATAAACGATTGTCTATTAAACAATATAATCGTTTTTTAAAATATTAGCAAGATTGATCATCAAAATATACATCGGATAACGATACTAATCTATTTAGTAATTCTTGGCTTAAAATACATCGATCGAATAATAATAATAATAACAAACAAAAAAGAAACATTCGATATTCAATAAATATTTTCAAATAGTGATTTAACACAGTCATCATATCGCCATTATCGACAATGTGAAGTTGTTAATACATAAACTTCAAAATATATTTATGTTTATATTTTTCTTTTTCATCATGTGCCTCTGCATGTTTTCCATGTTACTTCCAATGATTGTATGTATCATAGAAACATGTTTGATATGTCTTCTTTGATCTCGTTTTTGTTGTTTTCTTCTCGTATTATTATAATATATACTTGTACATTACAAATTCTATTAAACTATCAGCAAAGAAAAACAAATACTTTATTCGATGTGTATTCAGTTTTGTATTATATTGTATATATGATATTAATGATGATATCTCTTATGAATAGCACTCAGATTACTGTTATTTTGATTATAATTCTTCAAACAATTAATCTTTGAATACAGTAGAACCGTGAGATACATATATAACATTTGTCAATCTTATCAGAACAGATTAAAAGAAAATAGATTTGTCCTATATTCAAATAACAGATACAATCGGTAATAAATGATGTCAAGTGACAAACTCATGATTTTCTTTTTCAGCCATCATCAACAACTTGTTCGCACATTTGTTTAATCTTACTTTTCAATTAGAGTTGATACTTAGACTTACTCTTTGTCTACTTTAAATGAAATTAAACAAGGTATATGATCAAATCATTCTTTAATACAATGAAACGTAGTAGTCTTTTATCGAAGATCAGAATTCAAGGGTGTGACCGTCGATTTAGACAATAATTTTTAAATATTCCTACAATAATATTTATATCCATGGGTAAACTTTGTATAATAAAAAAGATCTATTGCCTAAGTATATTATTATTTTTCTGTCGTGTCATATCATCTGAAACTGATAACAATATACTTATTGCATCATATGTCTCATTAAAACATGAATAGGCTTCACAAATAAATTGTCATTTAAGTACTCTATATACTATTTGAAAGAGTAAAGAAATCTCTATAATTCTGTATACTTCAACTATATTTCAGATTGACAAACACGAAACTATAAATACTGTTTTAGGCAGCACTACAAAAAAAAAATTTGTAGAATATTTTTGTTTGAACTTTGATTAGTCAGATCATAACTCAAATACGAAGGAAAATGAAATAGAATATGCAAGTGGGTGTTGTAGATAGCCAGGAGATATATATATCCTATTGAATCAGGTTCTCTCTTTATCCAACAGGATTTAGATTCTTATATAGGGGATTTGCTTAAATAATGTGAAATTCGTAGTTTTTTTATTTCAGTTTTCTCCCACGATGCACGAGAGAATTCAATAATATATATACCATGAGATAAAGTAAGTGTTTCTCTAGAAGCCTATGTATATCCTATCTTTTAGTCAAAAATCGCCATATAATTTATTATCGTCTTTCATGAAAATTGTCAACCAAATTTCAGTACTTGCTGTCAGATAAATCCTGATATAACAAACATATAGGAATATCAATAGATTCTCCATACGGAAAATAAGAATTTACTCTAAAAAAGATTGCTAATTCGAGAAATTATTTGAAATTTATTCTATTAACATAGTAGTCTACTCAATTATTAAGATGTAATCGATAAAGAAAATCTTATGTAAATAAAGAATGAAAATGTCTTTGAATATCTCTCAACTCTTCTTTCCTAGATGATTATCAAACTAAACAATATTCTAAGGTAATTAACCATCGATTTATTTTATCATTTCAATCTTTACTATTTTAACATAAATGATGAAGACACATTAAAAATGTAAAAATTCTAGGAAATATGTGCACGAATATTTCGTATAGATAATATTATTAAATGACTAATTTTTGACAAAGGTATATTAATAGATCGAAGGTGACATTCTACATCAAAACCACAAAGACCAGCACAACCAGCGCATACGATTAGGGGGGGGGGGAGGGGAAGCGGGGGGATTTCCTCCCTCTAAATTTTTTCTCGCATTCCAGCTTTCTCCCTAAAAATTTTCTTTACGAGTAGTTTGAAATTTCTACTCATTAGTTTGGAGAAAAAAGTTCAGATACAAAGCGAAAGTCGTTCAAACCCTGAGAAAAATAGGCTAGTTTCAAGGAGAAAATAGCACAGGTCCGAAGAGAAAATGAATAAATTTCTAGAGAAAATGGTCCATATTCAAAGAGAAAGTAGTTCAGACTCAGAGAGAAAATCGGCTAGTTTCAAGGAGAAAATGCATCATTTTCAAAGAGAAAATGGCCAAATGCAAAGAGGAAAAAGTGCAGACTGAGGAAGAAAATAGGCCAGTTTCAAGGAGAAAATGCATAAATTTCAAGAGAAAATAGTTCAAACATAGAGAGAAAACAGATCATTTTCGTTCCATAGCTATATGACTTAGCCTTTCGAGTTCAGAATATGCGAGATTTTTATAGATGCTGTTCTAGTGATGTGAAATGCACATGAGCCAACTGATTTTCAA